GTTCAGTCTATTGAGTTTTGTTCTTTTGTGAAAAGTAGAAAATAAGGACGATAACAGCTACAACTGCAGCGGCAGCGGTGACAAGCCTAAAAAAATGAAAAGCATGTAAATTTCGGAAGCGATGCGAGACAACACGAAACGGGCAAGAGGATTAGTTAGTGGAGCTGAAGGAATGACGGCGTAGAGTCAATTCCAACGCTGCATCCATTGGCGGCATCTCACGAATCGTAGGATTTAGCAATTTAGGTGAAGGACAAATCGGAGGTGGAGCATTAACGAAGCAGGATAAAGTGTGCATGCATCTTAACGTCATGAAGCGCGGGCTGGTGCTACCGTTAGAATGGTTTCACAAAATGCGAAAGCGGTATGGAAGACAACAAAGTAGCAAGGCGAAGCACCGAAGCACTAAACACAATTGGGCGGAAGCTTACACATATGGATAAGTAAAGCACTTAGCCATTATTTTCCACGCAATTTTTGCCAATTTCCAAATCAGATTTCGAAGAAGCTTCTGTTCCTTTGATGGGTGTTTGGCTGTCATCGCTTCCACCAAATAGACCGCCCAACTGCCGACACTCGAAGCACTAAACACAATTGGGCGATAGAGCAGTAAAGTACTTAGCAATTCTTTTCCACGCGATATTTGCCAATTGCCAAATCCGATCTCGAAGAAGCTTCTGTTCCTGTGATGGGTGTTCGGCTGTCATCGCTTCCACCAAATATTCCGCAAAACTGCCAACACTCGAAGCACTAAACACAATTGGGCGATAGAACAGCAAAGTACTTAGCAATTCTTTTCCATGAAATATTTGCGAATTGCGACGTTCGATCTCGAAGATGCTTCTGTTCCTGTGATGGTTGTTCGGCAGTCATCGCAATACATTTCCGCGATTGAAGAATCTCCTCTTCCGCTGATGGGTTTTTGTTTGTCATGAATTCCACAAATTTTTTCACCGCACTGCAGACACCCGAACATACGGCATTCCAAATCGCACGAAGCTTCAATGTAAAATGAAGTGCTACTG